ACAACCCTGGAAGGTGGATTCTCTGGGACTTCCTATCTCTGTTTTACTGAAGTGGAAGCTGTGGCTCAGGGGATAAATCGTTGACCAGGGTTTGAATGACACTTCAGACACTTAGCAGCTGTGTGACCCTGGCCAGGTCTTTGTACCGCCTTGGGTTTCAGCTTCCCCATCTGTGGAACGGACAGGTTTGACTGGGTGAGCTCTTGGGGTCTCTTCCAGGACTAAATGAGCATTGAAAGCCCTGCACAACATCCAGGCAGCACATCCTCACCTTAGCACAGGCTGTTCCGTGCACTGCCCCTCTCCGCCCAAATTCTGCTCAAGTGACTGACACCAGCATAAAAGCTTTCCTGATTTCTTTAGCTGCCCCGCCTCTTCCTCCTCTCCCATTTACCTGATCTTTGTTTTCTCTCTCCCCCTCGCGTAGTCTTGTTTAGTTAGATCTGTGTGTTCCCTGTGGGAGGAGGAACAGCCCCAGTTTTTGTCTTTGTAATACCAACCCCACCCCTCGTATACACACACTGGGCACTTAAAAGCTTATTGACAAATTAAATTGATAAAATATATTTTCTATAGGAGAGACTCATTTGTTTATACGTAAAAGTTTTGTGGATTGGTTAGTAACATTTTGAAGAAATCAAATGCTAAGTATTTATTAAGTAGTAGCCATTTGCCAGCACTGTGCTCAGTGTGGGGAACACTGAGACCCGAGTGAGACCATCCCTGTCTCTGTCTCTGTCTCTGTCCCATCCCCAGCTCCCCTTCAGCTGAGGACGAAGAGAGCTTTTCTAACACTTTGGCCTGAAGTCCATGATCTATCTGCATTAAAATAATTAAGTAATCAACAATCTTGTGTTAAGCACTTGCTGTGTTCCAAGTACTGTGTAAATGCTAGAGACACAAAGAAAAGTAAAATGAGTCCCAGTCATCAGTCAGTCAGACATTTATTAGATAAATGCCTACTGCATGTGTGAGTGCCAGGTGCTGGAGATACAAAGAGACAAAAAACAGACCCTGCCCTCAAGGAGCTTACGGTCTAACGAAGAGCTTTTACTCCGAAATATAAATCGATAAATATAAGATGAATGCAGGGCATATGACAGTGATGACTGCAAACGGTATAAGTTTAGTGCTCGAAGGGACCTCAGAGGACATCAAGTCCAGCCCCATCATTTTACAAAGGAGGAAACTGAGGCTCAGAAAGAATCAGAGGTGGGATTTAAACCCAGGTACTACATGAATCATCCTAATTTTATAGAGGAGGAAACTGAGGTTAAAAGATTTGGCCGAGGCCATGCACGGCTCAGTGTCAGAGAGAACCCAGAGCCCTCCTGACTCCAGTCGGGCCTGGCCCTGGTGGCAGGTTGCCTCTGTGTTTGGGTCACAGCCCCTCCCCCAGCTCCCTGGAGGAAAGTGTCCTCAACCAGAGTGAAATGACTCTGCTGCCTGCACCTCCCTCTTCTGGCCCTCTTCTCCAGGAGGCAGAGTTTGCAAACCTTTCTTCTTCCACCTCCTTTGGGGCTCCCTCTCCTTCTCCCTCTCCTCGTCCTCTCGAGTTCAGTGTTTTTATGCTGCCCTCTGGTGCTCAGAGCATCCGTGACAAGACCCCACCCAAGGCTACTTTTCTCCTGGCTCCCCAGCTTCCAGCACGGCCTGTGGTCTAGGCTGTGAACAGCCTGCATGCCCTTTGCTGAGTCCTTCCCTCCCACGTTTGTGCTGTCTCCTCACTCAGAGCTGGAGCGCCTTGACAGAAGGGATGACAGGCTCCCTTTTCTCTTGTACCTCCAGCATTTAGCACCTCGATTAACACCAAGGAAGCTGAAGAAATGCTTTTGCATTCATTCATTCACTTTCCTCTTACTCTTCAATCTAGTCTGGCCCATCCCCTGAATTAGCACACTCTACTGAAAATAGGATATTTCTTTTCCCTGATACTCATCTCTCAGTTCAGCCTCTTTCTCCTTACGGGATATCTTACAGGATGGAGGTAATACTCATTCCTCGTATCTGCTTAGAGCTATAGAGTGTACCTTCGTCTGAGCCAGGCTTTTCCTTTCTTCCTGGAAGGCTGACTAGCCACCAGCTTCTCCCCGTTTGTGGGTAGCCTTGGGCCCCAGGGAAGGGAACCAGTTCCCCAGGAAGACAAAAAGAAGGGAATGGCAGCATAAAGATGCCCTTGGGCCCATCGCTGCCCTGTGGAAGCACTTTTTTTGAGTGTAAAAGTTATTTTTCAAAAAGTCATTATTAACTAGCTTTCAGACTCTTGGTATGTTATTTAAATAAATCTCTAATTAGTAGAATTTTGTTCTTTGGGGAGGTGAGAAGGGAATGGATGGTGCTGTAAAGGGATGATTTTTGAGCAGAGGGGACTTGGCCTGTCCTTAGTCTGGCCCGGGGTGGGGGGGGGAGGGTGTGCATTTATGGCCTTCAGCTCTCTACTACATTGTTAGAGAGGAGGAGGAGGAGGGAGGAGAGGGATGGAAAGAGAAGGAAGCTTCTGAATATCCTTCCTCACCCCAGTTTGTAACTCAAGGGGCACCAGATGGGCAAGCCTCCCTTCTTGGATCAGTTAGAGAGCATCAAGAAGAGGGAGGGCACCTCCATGGCCAAGGGCTTCCTTGATCATGCCATGGAAGAACTGGTCAAAGGACTAGAGATCTTTTATTCTGGCGGAGAGATTCAGTGGGGCACGGGACTGTCCCAGCTTCTCTATTTACTCGTGTGGCCTTGGGCAAGTCACCTGACTTAGGAGGTTGGACTCAACACCTCTCAGGTCCCTTTCAACCCCAGATCTTTGATCCCATGTATTAGATGAGCTATGATAATGTAGAAGAGAAATGAAAAGATCTGCTTGGTCTCCCAGGGATCAGACCAGGAGTAGTGGGAGGCAGCGGCAGAAGCAGATTTGGCCCAGGGGAAGGATATCTTCCTAACAGTGGGAGCTGTCCAGTGTGGGACAGACTGCCTCCGGATCCACTAGTAGTCTTTGTGCAAGGGTCACATGTTGGATCTGTTCTAAGGGGATTCCTGTTCAGGCAGGGGTTGGACTAGATGACCTCTGAGTTTAAAATGCGGGAGTCTTGCTACTTAATGGTAACAAAATGTAACAATAAAAATGAGTGACCTTGGGTAAGCCACATTCTCACTCTAGGCCTCAGTTTCCTCATCTGTAAAATGAAGGGCATGAGTTAAATGGCCTCTGAAGTTGATTGTGATGAGATGGGAGTTCCCAGTCTGTCTTCCTTCCCCCAAATTCCAGCCCCAGAAGCATCGTAAGACTTCCAGGGCATCTAAGAGTTACTTGTGAAGGATTGATTGGACGCTCATTGTTTAGTGAACACATTGGATTCAACACAGACCCCTAAAAGCTCACAAAATCTTATTCGATGCGTGTGGGATGTGTTATGAGATGGCTGCCCTCAGCAACACATTTCCTTCACAGGTTAGTTCTTTAACACATTAATCTACTTCTCCTAATAAGTGTGAACATAATTTATATGTTTATCCCCTTTGAAGACTGAAATCAGGGGGGCTGGGCCTGCTCTTTTGGTGAGTTCCAAAACACTGGAGCTGCCTTTTTAATATTTTGGCATGGTCCCCACAGAGACATGACCTAAGGGTGCGAATTACCCAGCAAAGGACTGGAAATCTATAGATATTAAACTGCCCTGGATTTCCCTGGGCCACATGAAATGCTTGTCCCCACAGCCAGGAGGGGACAGGCAGCTTGTACAAGTGTCTTGGATGCCGTGAGAAGGAGGGGGTGGTATTGGCTGCTTGCAAAGGGCAGAATCTCCCAAAAGGGTTGGACAGGGACAGCTTCTGTCACTTTCCCGCTGTTGGCAGGATCCCTAGGAAGAGGTGAGAAGAGGGCAAGTGATGGGGAAGGAGATTGTTCCTAGGAGCCTGCAGCCCAGGAGGAGGTCCCAGCTCAGTGCCGTGGGTGGGCCTTAGGGACCGTTCTCCCCTGTTGTCTCCTTCCCCCTACCCTGAGCCAGGGCTCCTGAATCCAGGGCACCAAGAAGATAGAGGAGAAAGAAGAATCTGCCGCTCCTTGCTCAGTACCTGACAACAGATCCATGGATCTGCCCTGAGCAGTGACCTGAGCAGTGACTGGGGTAAAGGATTACTCATAAAAATGATGTACTCATGTTTCGGTGGCCACATTCGATGCCGTGGAGCACTTTGCCGGTACTGATGGTGATGTTGTTAGCCTAATGTTTTGCCCTGGGCCGTAGGAGTGAGGCAAGGAGCCAGAAATTTCAGGCCTACTTGATCAGCTAACAAGCTTTTACTACATGCCTACTATGTGCCAGAATCTAGACCAGCCCCTGGGGATGCAAAGACAAAGTGAGGCGGCCCCTGCCTTCAAGGAACCTGTTTTGTAACCAGGGACGTGTGTGTGTGTGTGTGTGTGTGTGTGTGTGTGTGTGTGTGAACACACTGCTAGATACACATGTACATGTGTATGGATGTGAACTATAAAGAGCACAATACACTCTAAAAAAGCGAGACGACCGGTGGATAAGTCAAATTCTGCATCAGAGGCTGTGTGGCCTTAGCCAAACCACCTAACCTCACTGAGCCTCAGTTTCCTCATCTGTAAAATGGGGACAATAATAGCACCTACTTCCCAGGGTTGTTGTAAGGAGCAAATGAAATCACATCTCTGCAGTGCTTTGCAAACCTTAAAGTGGTATCAAAATGCTGGCTACAATTTTTTTTTTTAAATCAATGCAAGGGGGTCTGTGACAGAAGGGAAGGACAAGTCAAGTGCAGATGCCAGCCCCTTTGTGTGTGAAGCCTGTCAACACCCTTTCTTGTTCTGTCTTGCCTTTTATTCTGTCCTCTTCTCATTCAGGGCAAGGCCAGGGTCCTTGTGCCTTGCTGTGCTGCAGGGTCAGTAACTGGGAGGGAAGACTGACTTATTTTGCCTGGCTTAATTCCCTGCCAGACAGGACCATGGAGTAGCCAGCCTTTGTCTCTTCTCTTTCCACTAGGCATCCCCACCCTCATCGTGCTGGACCCGAAGGGAGAGATGATCACCCGGCAGGGGCGCGTGGAGGTCCTGAATGATGAAGACTGCCGGGAGTTCCCCTGGCACCCCAAGCCTGTGCTGGAGCTCTCCGACTCCAACGCCGTGCAGCTCAATGAGGGCCCGTGCCTCGTTCTCTTTGTAGGTATGGAGCCCAGCTGGGGACCCGGACAGGGGGAGGGGGCTGCTTCATCTGGGTATAACGGCTCGGGGAGGCCCCCTTCCTGACAGCCTCTTTCTGTCACTAACAATGCCGGATCCGAGGCCTTTGTCTCTTCTCAACTGCTTTGCTTTTGACCCCAAAGGTTTATTCATAGCTGTCCTCTCTGCAGGAACCCTGCCTGTCCCCCTCCCTTGTGGCTCATTGACTTCCTGCTGAGAATAGGTCAGGCCAGGGCTGATCTCCCTTGTCTGACAGAAGCCTTGTTTGCAGGAGGCAGGCTTATACAGCCCAGCCAGGGGGAATCTTTGGGCCCTTTCAGGGCTCGGCAGTCATGGTGGGGTGCTCTGCTGAAAGCTTTTTCTTGTCCCGAATGACTGATCATTCATGTCATGATTTGTTCAAGACACAGCCCCAGGTTGGGATTACCAAATCCTGCCAGGCTCCCAGGGGGCTCCTGAGGCCAGAGAGACCTCCCAAACGCGGCGGTGTCTACCCCAGCCCTGTGGGGACTGCTCGCCCAGATCTGACAATTCAAGGGAAATGAGTCCAGCGCTCAGAGACCTGGGAAGCAAAGGGTCTGCACCAGGTGGTTCTCTTGTGTTCACCCTTACTGGAGAGGAAAGAGAAACTAGCCTGGATTTTGTTTCAGGGAAGTCAAATCAAATCTCTCCAGATGCCTTTTCCTGAGCACCCTCTCTGGAGTCCACCCAGCCATGAGGGAATTTCCTGCTTCCCTTTTCAAATGAACTTTTGCTAGAAGTAGGCTAGGAATGAACACATCCATACACACGCCCATACACACAGACACCCACAGACACACCCAGATGTGTGCCTGCACACACATGCATATACACAGACACACTCCTCTAGTCCAACCCCCTCGTATTACAAGGGAGCAAATGGTGTCCCAGGGAAGTCAAGTGACCTGCCCACAGTCACTCACATCATAAGCAGCAGAGCTGGGATTTTTCTCAGGTCCTCTGGGATTTTCCCTTGTGCCATGTGATCTCATGGCACAGGCCTCTCACCAGCCCTCATTCTTATGGCCTCTAGGCATTCTCTGGTTTGTCTGTGGCCTCAAGTCTAGTTCTCAGAACCAAGGTCCATCCATGCTGATGGTGTGGTGAAAGGAGGTTTGGGCTGCTGCTCCTGAGTTCTGGGATGGGGAGAAGCGTAGGATGTGGGGTCAAGAATATAGGGCTGTAGAGGGAAAGAAGGGAGGGAGATGAGCATTGTTTGAACCTTACTCTCATCAGATTTGACTCAAGAAGGGAATAACATAATCAGTTAGGCATAGAAATCTAACATGCCCTATAGGCAGTAGGAGGGAAAAGGGGAAAGAAAAGGGAGGGGGTTAATAAAAGGGAGGTGGGACTGAGGGAGGTGGTGGTCAAAAGCAAAACATTAGTGAGGAGGGAGAAGGAGAAAGGAGAAAGAAAAGCATAAACAGGGGTGGGGGGGAAGGATGGAGAGAAAGACACAGATAGTAATCATAATTGTGAATGTGATATATAAATGTAATGGAATACTATTGTGCTATAAGAAATGATGAACAGGCCAACTTCAGATATACCTGGAAAGACTTGTGTGGTTTGATGCTGAGTGAAGTGAGCAGAACCAGGAGAATGTTGTACACAGTAACAGCCACATTGAGTGATGACTGACTTTGATAGACTTAACCCCTCTCAGCAATACAAGGATCTAAGATACCTCCAAAAACCTCATGATGGAAAATGCTATCCACATCCAAAGAAAGAATTATGGAGTTTGAATGCAGATCAAAGCATACTATTTGCAATTTTTTTCTTCTGTTATGCTTTGTTTCCTCTTTCTGGTAGTTCCTCCTATTAGTTCTAATTCTTACTTACAACATGACTAATGTGAAAATATCTTTAATAGGAATGTATATGTATAGTCTATCTTAGATTGTACGCCATCTTGGGGAGGGAGGTAGGGAGGGAGGGGGAGAAAATTTAAAACTCAAAACCTTATGGAAGTGATTGTTGATAAATTAAAATGAATTAATAAGAGTAATAGTAAAAAAAAAATAAACCAGTTAAAAGAATATAGGGCTATGACCTTGGCAAGTTGCTTTCCCCTTGGTGCTGGCCGTGCTGTCCTCTGAGAGCCCTTCCAGCACCACATCAGTATCCTGAGGGGCCCAAGGAGGCAACATGCCTTAACTGTGGCCACATCATGAGCCTGGAATAGGAGGCCAGGCCAATACCTAGGCCTCATGCACCCTAACCCAGTGCCTTCCCTATTCCCCAACTATGTTTGATTCCTGTGGCCCTGCCTTCTTACCCAGTCCTTCCAAAGCTGGCCTTCCCCCCTTTTTTTCCCCCATAGTCACTAGTCTGTCCCATCCTTGAATCCAGGGCCCACAGCTGAGCACCCGGCCCAGGGCTGCAGAGAGCCCATCAGTCAGGGGGGAGAGACAAGCAGCTACTGCCTTGTGATGCCATTTCTTGTGGCCCAGAGAGGCTGAGTGATTTCCCTGGGGTCACACAGCTTGTGAGAGTCTGAGGCAAGATTCAAGCCCAGGCCCTCCTGACTCCAAGTCTAGGGATCTCTCCACCACGCCATGATGCCTTTTGTTGGAGGGAATGACAGACCAGTGTCCATTGGTGAGACTTGGTGTGTGGAAAGGAGGAGCAGTGAAGTGTGATTAGAAGGGAAGATGGGTTGCAACTGGGAAATAAGAAATATTGGAAATGGGGTACAGAAATCCATCCTGCCCTGCAGGAAAATAAAAGGAGAAGGCGATAAGAGAAGGGGGGGAGAGACAGAAGAGAGGGCAGACCAGGGGAAGGGGTATTCAGAATGCCTGCCATCTTGGGGTGGGGGGGAGGGACGAGATGGGGTGAAAATTTGGAACTCAAAATCTCGTGGAAGTGAATGTTGAAAACTAAAAATAAATAAATTTTAAAAAAAAGAAGGGAGGATTTAAAAAAAAAAAAAGAAGCCTGAGGGTTCTTTGCTGATGGGAGGCAGGATCTGGGGTATGTGCCCATAGGAGTTAGAGGCCCGGGAGTCTAGAAGGTCCAACGGGGCTGTTCCATGGCGGCTTGGGCCGCCCTCTACAAGGAGCCACTATGACCTCACTTGCCCAGGGCAGTGTGGACGGTCCCCCAGGTATCTCCTGGCCCCACTGGTCACTAATCAGCGCATCCTCGTCTTCTCCCCCTGCAGATTCTGAGGATGACGGCGAATCTGACGCTGCCAAGCAGCTCATCCAGCCGATCGCAGAGAAGATAATCGCCAAGTACAAAGCCAAAGAGGAGGAGGCCCCGCTTCTGTTCTTTGTGGCAGGAGAGGTGAGTGAGGGGGTGCCAAGGCCTGGCGTCACCTGAGAGGGAGGCTCTGGTTGGGCCCTTTCTCCCCTGTCCCCCTCTGGAGGAGACACAGAAGCAGCGGCCAGACCAGAAGGGAAGAGCACGTGGAGCTTGTCATGAGGAGAAACATACCCCACAGTGGTGCTTCTGCACTGGTCGTGGGGTCAGAGGACCTGCGTTTAAATCCTCCCTCTGCTGGTCACTGCCTGTGTGATCGTGGACGAGTCCCTCAGTCTCGTCTGTAAGAGGAGGGGGCTAGGCTTGTTGCCTCTAAGGCCCCTTGTGGCTCTCAGTCTATGATCTGATGAGGAAGTAACAGAGATGAACATCCAGGTCACTTGAGAGAGAATTCCAGAATCCCTCAGAGACACCCTTTGTGGGTCTGAATTATACAGGATCCCCAATCTAGAGCTGGAAGGGACCTCAGAGACTGTCTAATCCAGCACCCCCACTTTACAGATGAGGAGACTGAGGCCAGGAGAGGGGAAGGGCCTTGCCCCAGGTCACACAGGTCGTAACCATCAGAGGGAGGATTTAAAGCCAGCTCCTTTGACTCCAGATCCTCTTCTCTCTCTCTTGGAGTTTGGGGGAGAGGTCCAACCTGGAGCTGGAGATTTAGGTCTTCTGCATAGAGCTGGGCATTACCGGATTTAGAGTATTTATGGGTAGTTATAGGATTATAGATTTAGAGCAGGGCCCTGGGCCGCTTTGCAGATGAGCAGACGGAGGCTTAGGGAGCTGAAGGGACTTGCTCCGGGTCACGCAAGCAGGACGTCTCTGAGCCACTGACCCAGCTCAGGTGCTGTCCACCCAACTCGGAACCCTTCCTGCTCTACTGCCTCTCTGTGAGGATCCAGGGAAGTGGGTATCAGGGCAAAGGCAAAGAGGCCTAGCACCTGTAAAGTGGACTTGAAAATTAATTCACAAACTCACGTCACAGGGGTCCCAGTGTCCTTGGGGAGCATACTAAGAGGGAAGCAAATTCATCCCCCACATTCCCTTCCTGTTGCTCCTTCTAGCTCTCTAACAGGAACGCCTCATTGGGGAGCTTCCCCTGCCACGCCTTCAGAGGGTAAATTACTGTACCCTTCTTGACAAGAACTGGGGGAAGGGATGGCTATCATCATCAGGCCACTGGAACACTCCTGTGGGTTCCACAGACAGAGGAAGCCAGCCGAGGCCTTTTCAGAGCTCAGAAGTGTGTCACTGAGCTCAGAGCTTGGTGCTAGCCCTCGGAGTTTGCTTCCCAAGCCTCCGAGCCCACTTCCCAGGGTGCCCCCAGGAAACCATCCGGCAATGAGGTTGTCCCTCTGCACTTCAGTCTCTCCTTGGATTCTCTAGCACTGGGTACAGCAATGACAAGCCCTCCTTTCCAGCCCCTTGGGGAAGGCTCTTCTCCCTTGAGTCCCAGTCTGTGGAACTTCCTGAGCTCACCTGATCCTCTGCATGGCGCACTTTGCCCTTTAGAATAGGGCTTGCTTTTTGACCAGCCCCAGTGGTTCCCCATCAGAAGAGGCATGGATTTGCTGAGGAGTGATTTTGCCCAAAGCCCGTGTAAACGCCCATTTCATAAACGAGTCAGTGTCTTCTCTGTGAGCTGATACCTGTCTCTTTGCCACACTCAGCCAGGCGGGCTGGGAGCTGCAGCTGGTCCCTCTGTAAGGACGACGGGGCTCGATCCCTCAGAAATGGCGAATGCCTTTGCAAAATGGCCGCGGTCTGCGCAGGGGCTCTGAGCCCCCTCCCCCAGTGCATCTTCACAAGCATGCTCCCCTGCGCAGAGGATGCCTCCCCCGCCGCAGCCTTTCCCAAGACAGTCCCACGGCAGTCCCTCTGTAAGCCTCTTATTGGGAAACACAGATTTTGAAAAGTATCCCCCTCCAGCGGGTGCGCGCCTGCGCCCCGGGGTGGGCTGCAGCTGGAGGTCTGCCACGTATTCATTTCACGCTGAGCTTGGTCCCAGGCGAGCAGGAGCAGCAGGAAAGAATGGCTGAACACCCAGAATCACCCATTCATCACCTCCTCAATAGCCTCTGTGGCTAAGCCCATCTGGGCCCCCTTGAGCCAGGCCCAGGCTCCCCTCTTCAGCCCTGAGGTTGCAGGGAAAACAAAGCGAGTTCGGAAGGGCCCTTTGCCTTTGGCCCCACACACAAAGAGGCTGGTGGAGGCCAGCTTGAATGGATTCAGTCCATACCCTTTATGTAGTAGTGGTGGTATTTTTAAACAGCCCTGGAATAGGACAGGAGACAGAAGGAGGAGGAGGGCAGGTTTGGGCAAGGCTCCAGACTCCAAGGCCTCGTCCTGAGGGACAGAGGGAGCCCAGGACCTGGAAGGGGTCTGGCATCTGCCACATTTTCCTGGACAGTCCTTGGTTTCAAGAAAGAAAAATCAAGTTTTATCAGGGATTTATAAAAATAACATCCTTTCTTAGATCACGTGTCCTGACTTGGAGCTGAGAAGACCCATGTCTCTGGACCCATGAAATCCTGGGCATGGGGCAAAGCATCCCAGGGTCCTAGACATGGAGCTGGAAGGGACCTCAGATGCCATCTGGTCTATCAGGCAATCAGCAAGCATTTACTGCCTACTGTATGCAAGGCACCATGCTAGGCACTGGGGACACAAAGACAGAATGAAATAATCCTTGATCCTCATGGACAAGACATAGAGAAGGATATATAGAATAAGAAGAAGGAGAATTCAGATAAAGTAAATACCAGGGCACTGGGAGGAAGGGAGGACACTCACAGCCGGGCTAGGGATCAGGAAGGGCCTCAGGTGGTGATGGGGTTCCAGCATTCCAGGCATGGGGGTGGCTAGTGTAAAGGCCCAAGGTGTGAGATAGAACAGAAGTGTCCAGTCTGGCTGGATTGTGGAGTATAGGTAGGGAAGTAATATCCAGTGAAGCTGCAAAGATAGGTCAGGGCCAGGTAGTGAAGGACTTTAAAAACTAAACAGAGGAATGTCTGTCTTATCTTAGAGGAAATAGGGAGCCACTGGAGTTGAGTAGGAGAGTGACAATCCAACCTCCTCATTTTACAGATGAGCAAACTGAGGCACAGGGAAGTTAGTGTCTTGGTTATGAACATAGCAGGTTGGAGGCAGGATTCGTACCCAGGTCCTCTGTCTCCAGAGGCAGTGCTGTTTGCACTGTCCATCTCTGCCCTCCATCTCTCCCTGCCCCCATCCCATAGGGACTGGCTTTATCCAGTTATCAGGAGCCTTATCAGACTTCCTTGCTGACCTTATTTGTGCAGCCTCAGCTTTGTGGCTCGGCTCTGGAGTCTGCCCTTGCACCCTGCCCAGTCCTACCCACAGTGAAGGGAAGAGTCTTTGCTCGGTGCCGCCATCTTGAACTAAAAAAAGTCATTCCTTTCTGCCAGAAAACTAGAGACAGCCCCATATGAAGAAACCACCTTCCATTTTGCTCTTGTCTGCTCAGGAAACTGCATGGACAAGACTTGTGCTGAATGTTTGTTTCTCACCCTGGATTTAAATTTTGTTTTAATCCCCAAAGGTCTTTAAACCATTTGCCCAGTGCTAATCCTGGATGATCTCTTTTAACTTCTAGACTTCCAAGGCTAGCTCTGGTGACCTCTTGTCACCTTGTCAACACAGGCTGGGTGGGAAGACCTGGGAGAAGGAGAGAGAATGAATGAGAAGGCTTACATGTACGAGAGAACCAGGGCTTGATGTGCTAATCAAGCAAAACTTGTGGGACCACCATCTTTCATCAGGCTTGTCCCTTTGAAGGAAAGACATTTCCCCCCAGAAATCAGCTATGGATTCAGTTCACCTGCCACCTGTAATGGCCAAGTGTGACCAAAACTGGGCAGTGGAGACAGGGAAGGTGGTAGACAAGGGTCTTTTTCTGCCAGGATACCTTAGAGATCTATAAAAGCATTCTCCATGGTGAAACCACCTCAGGGCATATACACAGTCACCTTCTGCACAGGCCCATCACAGGGCCTGGGTTCAAATCCTGCCTCTGATGTTTACTCCCTGTGTGACATTGGACAAGTCATTTCATCCCCTTGGGTCTCAATTTCCTTCCCTGTCAAATGAGAGGGTTGAACTAGATGGCCTCTGACAATCCTTTTGGCTCTAAATCTATGCTCCTATGAATGAATGGGGGTAACACATCCATTCCTGTTCAACTTTGGGGGGTGCATTTCTCAACAGAGCTGTGTCTTCTCAAAGCAAAGCCTCAGCCTCAGCCTTGTAGGATACTACCCTTGCTGGGCAACAAGATGTCCCATTCCTTCTTAGGCTAACCCAAAGTGCCAACTTCAGCAAAACTGTCTTCTTCTGAACCTGCTCTGTGGGAGCCCCACCTTCCGAGGGCCTGTGAGATAATGAGTTCTTTGTGTTCAGAAGACCTTCCGCAGCGTTGGAGGCATATTGGTCACAGCTGGTCCCAGGGTAGCTATGCATAATTAAGAGCTGACTGTACAAGAAATAAAGTAAAATGGACTAAACAAGAGCGGCAATGGTCAGCACATGGTCGTAATGTCGTTAGAGCCCTAATATAAAAGATGACTCGTCTTCTGCCCTCAAAGTCCCCCAGAGTGCTCAGCCAGGCTAAGCAGAGAAAGGCCAGCCATGGCCTCTGGTGGACACGCAAGTGCTGCCACCCTCTCTGCTAGCTCCCAGCCCATCCCCTGACCGGTGAACTTGGGGAATTTATAATCTATTGATGAAAAGCATTTCTTGGGCAGTTGGAACACAGGCTGGTGAAGAAAGGCTGATGCATTTCATACTGAACAGGGAGCTCCCTGTCTTCTTCCGCTCCAACCTGTTTATTTTCTTTCCCTTCTGGTGGCTCTTCCAGGATGACATGACAGATTCCCTGAGAGATTACACCAACCTACCTGAGGCCGCCCCACTGCTCACCATCCTGGACATGTCTGCCCGAGCCAAGTACGTGATGGACGTGGAGGAGATCACGCCCGCCATTGTGGAGGCCTTTGTCAACGACTTCCTAGCAGAAAAGCTAAAGCCAGAGCCAATCTAATAGGACCTCGGTCTCCCTGGATGTTATTTAAAACACAGCCGCCTCCTCCTTCCCCCTTCCTCTGCGCCCTTGGACTTTTCAGCTGGGTTTTTGATGCACTCACTCGATCCTGATGTCTGGCCTCTTTGTGGTGCCTTTTTTTTTCTGAGTTTGGTCCTTCTCGCCAGCTCCCTGAGGGGCGCCTCCTTGCAAATGGCAGAAAAGCCCATGCGTCTTGGAGCCTGCTTCCGCTTCACAGATGATTTAGCTGGGCCAGAACTGGGATTCTCACAGTGAAATCCTTGCAAGGGTCTGTTTCCCCTAGGTTAGGCAGCAAGCAGGCAGTTACTTTGGTTCTCAGTTTCTCGGCACCCTTTACACATCTTCCAGACACAGACACACTCGTGAATAGACACACAGGACCCTTCAGCAAACAGAAGGGTGGTTGTGGGGATGCCCCTGGTCGTTGGGGTCTGGTCATTAGGTGTCCTTGTCTCTTGCTAAAGAAAAGGAAAGTCAGTCAGGATCTTGAGGGCCCCCTTCTAAGCCAAGGGAGGTCTTTGTCATTACTGGTGATGAAAAGAGCTGTAAGGAAAACCAAGAAAAGAAAGTCTCTCTTCTCCTCCCCAGTCTCCCCACACAGGGCCCCCCTTCTAGGAACAGCCCCCTGCTGCCTTCAGTTACATGCATTGTTCTTCCTGGTCACCTGTCCTCAGAGAAGCCCCACACACTGAGCCCAGACCCTGATGAAAACTCTTAAGAAACAATCCCCTGGCTAAGATGGCGTCAGAGAACCCTCTAGGGATCCATGGCCTGGTGCCCTTTGTAAGCCTGGATCTGGTCACTACTTCACTTGATGGCTTTCACAAGATGAAAAGCACAAATCAGATCCCTTCCCCAAGATGATCTGGCATGGCCCCATCTTTACAGAGGAGGAAACTGAGGTCCACAGAGGGGGAGTGACTTGCCCAAAGTCACACAGGTAGTAAGTGGCAGAGCCAGGATTTGAACCCAGGTCTCCAGGCTCTCTGCTGCATCTCGATGCTTCCATCCCATACTTAAACATGTGCATCCAAAAGAGCAGCTTTATCTAGAGCCAGGAATTGGAGGCCTCTGGATAGAGCTGTGCCAGGCCTTCCTCTGACTTGGGCATAGACAGGCCTCTGGGAAAGGACCCCCCAGACCCCTGGGGTGACCGCTTACGGGAAGACCCATCTCCCTAAGAGGAAGCTGTTGACTTTGCTCACCCTTGCTGTGTTGTTTTGTTTCTTGTAGTTCAAAGGGTAGGAAGTTAGTCGCTAATGATGGCCCAGGTCTGACGTGCAGTCACTTAAAAATAAAACAGGCACCTTTGGGTTTTTCAGTGGCGTGTAGAGTTCCTTTGTGAAGGGAGTTGTTGGCAACTTATCCACCGTCAGCTTGCCCTGCTTTCATCCCCAAGAGGAGTTTATTTAGGTGCTATTTGCACATGGCTGCTAGGTCTTTTGGAGGGAAGAGAACAATTCCTCTTGCTCCCCTTCCGGTCCCAAAAACCTCCACCTGGATCGCCATGATGGGCCCTCCAGGTCACATGAATCCCGTCCTTATGATCTCCAGAACAGCAGTGGGGGCATGAGTTTTCCATAGGTAGATCCAGTGCTGCAGAAGTGGGGCAAGGCTGCTCCACACCCCGCCCAGCCCACAGCCCTGACCCTCTTGTCTTGATTCCAGATCTCTGGGTACTGGGTGGGCATTGAATCACCCATGGGCATGCACCCCTTCTTGTTGGAGATCAAAGAAAAGGGTAAGAACTCAATAGCCGTAGTGACTGAGAAGCTGTCATCAGAGAGGCCGTGAACCTGTGATTTCCCCGGGAACTACTAGATAAGGCAACTCTCCCTCCACCAGGGGCGGTCAGCACCCACTCGGCCACTTGATAGTCTTAGAGTTACTTAGAACAAAGAGAGGATAAGTGATTTGCCCAGGATCACAGAACTCATATACAGCAGAGGCAGGACCCGAACCCAGGTCTTGCTGACTTGGAGGCCCACCACTCAGAAGACTTGGGCAAGGCCAGGCCAACCTAGATATGGTGGCAGACGCTGGGAATCCGAGCTTATTGGGGAGACTGAGGCTAAATCCCTGAAGTCCGGAATTCTGAGCTTGCAGTAAGCTAAACCAATTGGGTATCCCCACTAAGACTAGCACCAAGAAGGTGAGATTCCCCCCGCCCCCCTGGAGTTGGGCAGGGAGGGGAACCACTTTACCTAAGGAGGGTCAAACCAGCCAAGTTTGGAAACAGTGAGTGGAAGCTCCCATCCTGATCAGTAATGGGATCAGGCCTATGAGTAGCTGCTGCACTCCTAGCCTGTGCAAGGCAGGGAGAATCTGGCTCTAGTTAAAAAAAAAAAATAAAGATACGGACAGCATTTGGAAGCCCCTAAACCTGACTCTGGCCTAAAGCTCACCTGGCCTTAGAACACAGGAGTTCATGGTTTGCCTTCTGGTGCTACCAAGTTTAAATGGAAACGCATCTCTTACAGCACGTCGAGGCTGGCTGAATGTTTCCACTGGGGCTGAAAGAGGAGAGAAAGGGGAGTCAGAGTGAGTCAGTCCTCCACCTGCATCTTTCCTACAACAGAGCAAAAGATCCTCTGTCCCACTGAGCAGCTGCATGTCTTCTGAAACAAAAAGAACAAGGATTTCTGCCAGGCAATGCTGGGCTCCCCAGCTCCTGCAGGAGCTGTAAGCAGACACCAAGCAAAAACAAAAAATAGCCAGGCTATCTCCAGGGCTCTGCTGGCATTTCCATTTCTGACTCTGATGTACCTGCCAGATACATCAGCGAGAGTCTGCCCCAAGGAGCCTTAACTGTTTTAAGAGAAGCATAGGTTCAACCGTGGCTGAAGGCTCAGTGTGCCTACTCCTCCCCCTCATGCCCCATGCAGTGGTTACTGTGGGATAAAGAAATGAAGAACCAAGACCAGAAAAGAGGCCTGGCCCTTGCCCACGAGTGAGACGGATACAAGGGAGGTTGGTGCAAACAAAGTGGGTGGTATGAGCACTTCCCCAGAGCAGCTCAGGAATACCTTAAAATTCTTGTCACTAATTAGAAGCAGGTTAAAACATCCACTGGGCCCTCTTTAAGGGCTTCCACCAGTAGCAAGAGAAATGGCACCCTGTACTTAAGAGTCAGGAAGGTGACTAAAAATGCTACCCCAGGGTTCTCCTATTTGTTTTCTCCATGATGACTTCCAGATCTGACCTTACCCATTTACAAGACAAAGGAGAGGGCTTCACAACTGTCACTAGCAATGAGGTTCTGCTTAGCAAAAATGATGGTGGGGGCCCGACCGATGTATGTGGAGGAGATAGAACAGAAATCAGACCCGCTGCCTGGAGGGTTGTGGGCGCTCAGGTTTGAAGAGAACTGGAAATTTTGGTTTCCATTTCAGTGTGGTCAGTGGCTGCCCTTCCCCAAACACCAGTGGCACATTACCATTTTTGGGCACCATCTTCACTAGAAGAGTGAAGATACCAAGTTATGATGCAGACTTTATTTTTTCCTGTTGTCTAACTAAAGACTCTAACAAGCTTTTCTTCCCTACTCCTCCACCTCTTCCTTCACACAGCCATAGCCAAGCCTATGTTTGTGGCAATAGAATGATTCCCAACGCAACAGATTGGAGTCTGTGGCATCATAAAGACTGGGGAAATGAGCCAGGAACAGATCAACTAGACCCGTGTAGCTCAAACAAGCACTTTCAAGTTGTTTATCATTGCTTGGCTTAGGAAGAAAAAACGTCTGCTGTCATATGTGTTTGTGTTATATGCGAACACACATAACCCCATGCATCTATTAGCAGTGCCAGCTTCTCCATCCTAGCATGAGCAAGGCCACTCCTCCTTCTCGTTAAGCCTAGGGTACCAGAGAGTTGCAAGCAGTGAGGAGAGAGAACATAAAAACAACATTATCGGGGATGTTCATCTTCAACCGTGCCCCAGGGGAGGAAGGGGTTAGTTCTGGTGGGGTCCGGTAGCCCTGGAAGCTTCAGGTTCCAAAGGTGCCTCTAGCCCTTCTCTTTGATGGTTGTAATTTAAGGAGGGAAAGGGTTGTTTCTTTTCTTTGCTTCCTCCAAGATCCACTTTATTGACATGGACAGGGACAAAAAAAGGGCTTTCCAGCTTTCCCTGGAGCAATCTGGTGAGTAAAAACTGCTGTCTTTGGGGCCAAATGGCAGCTGTTTATTAGCCCTGTTATTAGGGTTAATGAGGCATATGCGCATGCATGGAGGGTAAACATAATATTTTCCAGGAAACAAAAGGTTTATTGTTTTCTGAGCATTTTATGTGGAAAACATCGCAATGGGTAAATTTCTTTCATGGGTATTCTGGTTGGAATTTCACCCTAAAGGGGACAACATTACATGGCGGTGGAAAGGGGGTGGGGGAGGGGTGACCTGGGAAGCAGGACACATCCAAGTCTTTCTCAAAAAAACGAGGGAGGCTGGACTAGACTGGCTCCTGAATTTCCTTGCCAGCGCTGATGTTCTGTATCTTTGAGCACGAATGATGTCCAGCTGTGTATATACCCTCTATTCTTGAATGCACCCCATACTAAAAATGTGCCACTAGATTTAGACCAGGATCTGCTCTTAAGGGCTTCTAGATTTTCAATTCAATTTCAGTGATGCTGTGAAAGGAAAAAAAAGTTTTATTTCCAGGCATGTGGACAAATATACAGCCCAAGGCAGGTGACAGAGGAATCTAATTTAGATGACAAGATCCTCCCTGGGCTTCTCCCAAGAGGCTGTGTGGGCTGATCAGATGCTAAGCTGGGCCCCGGCAGGTCATCATTATTTCTTAGGTATGATAATACAAAAGAGAAAGTTATCCCTGATACCTAACATTTTCTTTTTTCTTTTTTTAATTTTTTTCTCAATGCCAGAAGGTGTAGATAAAGCAAGAATCCCCAGCAGTTTATATAATTCATTTATATAATATGTTAAAGCTTACAAAGTGCTTTTTCTTCGTAATAGCTTTGAGAAGTTAAATGTCACTTTGCAGATGAGGAAACTGAGTCTGAAAAGTTAGTGGCTTGTCCAGGTCCACATCACTAGTTTCAGAATTAGAATTTGACTCCAAGAACTGTTCACTCAACAAGCATTTATTAGGTACCTATTATGTGCCAGACACTATACTAGGTGCTGGAGTATGAATAGTAAACACAATCCCTGTCCTCAGGGAGTTTATCTTCTATTTCAGAGACATGTACCTGTAAATACATTCAAATAATAAACATTTATCAAGAGCCTTTGTGCCAAACAATGCTAAGTGATGGCTGGGGATAAGTCCCTACGGGCCAGGATTTTACATTCTGATTTATACATAAAATACATAGAAAGTCATTCCAGGGCTGAGGAGGCACTAGGTGTCCGAGAAGTGCTGGTGATAATCTTAAAGCATACATTTGTGTGTTGTCTCCCCTATTAGACTGAGCTCCTTGAAAACAGGGACTGGTTTTTTGCCTTTCTTTACATCCTAGATGTTTAGACACAGTGCCCGGCACATAGTAGGCACTTCAGAAATGTTTGTTGGCTTGACGTGACTTGGAGCCAATGGCCCAAAAGGGAGCTTATTGTGATTCTGAAGGCAAGTCCAAAATTCTTTCCACTTAAACATGATACCTCTCAGTTTACTCATGGATCGGCAAGGACAATCTGGGGGCTGCATTTCCATACAGACCAACAGATATCAATTGCATCTGGTAACCAGAATAGTGGGGTGGGGGGTGGGGTTGGAAGTCATACTGTGAGAGGCAGCATGGTAGAGGTAAAGGAGAGTCCACAGATGTAGAGCTGAAAGGACATTGGGACCATCCAGTCCAAAGCCCCCATTTTACAGAGAAGATCCAGGAAGACCCAGAAAGAAGTGACTTGCCCAAGGTCACCCAAGTAGTAAATGGAAGAGCTCTGGGGTCCAAAGTCACAACCTTCCCACCAAGTCTGCTGCACCTCCTGGGTCCCTGCAGACCTGGGCTGGAATCTTGGCTCTTCTCTTTGCTACTTGTGTCATCCGGAGCAAGGGACTTTGTTTTTCCAAGCCTCAGTTCCCTCATCTGTAAAATGAGGGAGTTAGGCGAGAAGCTTCTTGGCGTTCCTTCCAGCTCTAAAGCTACAATCCTAAGACTCAGGGTGATATGGCTGTTTCTACATCTGAATAACCAATCCGTGTATCTCCAAAGGGCAGGAAGAAAGTGATTCCAAGTTATCAGTGGGCAGATTTCAGTTCCCTATTAAGAGCTCTTGAACATTTAGAGCTGTCCACTGAAGGAATGGGTTGCCATAAGAGGTGGTAAGTTCCTTGTTACTGAAGATATGTGCAGGAAAGAAGAGCAGTTTTCAGGGCTACTGTAAAAGGGATTCATGCTTCAGGTAGGATTTAGACTAAATGACTTGAGGTTCCTTTCAACACTATCAGACTTGGGGGAAACCAAGGGACATGGCCAGAAAAAGGACCTCCAGCGAAGTAGCTCCCTGCATTTTGTTGGTTGAAATATATCATCTGGATGTGGAGAGTGAGCATAGTAATAGCTAAGCAACTGTTGATATAGAACCTGGTAACTCATCTTTAATGCATTCTGCTTCCATTCCATGGGGTGGATGAGAAGTCACCACTTATCTGAAAAGGAGTGAGGTTTTCAATGGTTATTGTTATCCGAGGTTGTTCAGAAATTGCCTGTTTGCTGAGCACAGCACCATTTCGAACCATCCAGATCCAGAGCAATCAGCTCACCTCTCCAGTTCGGTTCTAGATCAGCACCTTTAATGCACTGATACAGAAGATAAAATTGTGGTGCTAGAATGCAGAAGCACCCCTATCCCCAGTAATGGGAATAGGACGAGGCCTGAGAGCAGACTCTGGCACTGGACCATACTCTGATCTCCAGACCCTGCCTGAAACCACTGTGGACAAAAACACTGCAGCTTTCCCGGAAGAGCTTTTGTGTGGAGAGCCCAGGGCAGGCCAGGGCACTGAGGCTGAGGTCTTGGAGGGGAGCAGTTAAAGAAAGGGCCCCAGGCAGCCCAGGCTTGCTTATCCTTAGGCTAGCCAGGAAATACAAGGGGTCTGACAGTAAGAAAGCAACTGGAATCACCAGCTGGGGAAAAAGAATTGAGCATCTCCAGTGGGTTGGGAGCCCAAGGCCCTTCTGTATTCTTGGTCTCACATATTCAGGGCACACAGAAAGTGATTCTCAAAGAGGGTCTGTATTAGGACCAGTGACACAAACACGGGAAGGGACGGCACTGTCACCAACTGATGACATGGGCCTCAGCTGGGTTTTCTCTGTTCCTGCGCATCATTTCTCTATTCCCACCCAATTTGGGAGGCGGAAGTGGGGGTCTCAAATGGTGTCTGTGTTCTAAGTTATTTGTGACAGTTGGTGTGACAGGCTTAAGCCTAGGCCTCTGGGATCTGCAGCAGGAGGCCTGGACACCTACAAACCGCATGCACGCTGCCCATTAACCAACACCCTAGAAAAGACTGCAGCGCGTCCTGCTCCGTGCTCACACCTCGGGCTGTCCTGTTGCTGCATCGCGCCCCCTGGTGGAAGAAGGCCTCTTTGCACCCTCTCTCCACAACCGTACAAAGGCCAAATGGAATGTGACCAACGCTCAGAGAATAAGACAATACCCATCAATTCCTTGTGTCTCTTTCCCATGAATGGCTTTCTGGCTCGTACCCAGCGGTTCCCCACGTTTCCCAAGAAGTGAGACTCGGCCTGAAATTGTACTCTCCATCCCGTCATTCTCTCATGGGCAGTGGAAGGGGAATGTTGCCAGCAGGTCTCACAAGGTCTTGGGCCCCAACAGCAGCCCTTTGGGAGGTCTGGCAGCCATGCCTAGGTTGGAGGAGAGCTCCCTTTCCCCAACTGAACCACAGTCCTCGCACATCCTCCACCCTTCTTCCACAAGGGACAAACATCTGCCGTTTTCCATCGAGCCTTTGCCCTGAGCCATGGGCCATTCCTGGTGGCTCAGATTAAGTATACATCAATACTCCCCAAACAGGAATAGGAGAGCCAGCCAAAGGCAAACTGGGGGAGTGAATCCCCTTCCCTTACACTGGTGGAAATGTCCAAGTGTGGCACTAATGTGCTCTGTACCCCACATCCTGCCAGGAAAGCTAATGACAACACTCATGTAACTGGGCTCTCCCGGGCCCCCTGCACAAGACCCCTGAGGTCCTGGGCTGCTGAAGGCATACACGATGTCAGGAGGAGCTAGACCATTTGGGGGCACCCAGAGGTTGGAGAAACCTGTTAAAACAAGCTGTTACTTCATCACTGCAACGAACATGCCTTCTATGGAGCCAGAGCTCTCAGCCTCTTAGTGAAGACCCAAAAAAATGGCCTATTTCTAGGTTTCAATCAGGTAAATCTGGCAAGTGAGAGACTTGCTAAGTGACCTTCACTATCCACTAGGTGCAAGCCGGACCATCCCCATCTCCAGAGGTTCAACCTCTCTGTCTCTTTGCTGTTGCTGGTTTCCACACCCTGCTCTGCTCCAGCCTGGGCAAGGGAAACCATTCCTTTCACTCAAGAGGGGTTAGGCAGGTGCCAGGACTGCTGCCACTAAGAGGGAAACACTTAGGGCCAAGCAGATCTTAACCAGTGAAGACATGGTAGCAAAGGGGCAACTTGAGACTTGATGTCAGGAAGACGGTCCTAACAGAGCCTCTCCAGAGGTCGAATGGGCATCAGACAGCAATGGGCCCTCCTCTGGAGGTCATAGGCTGGATGACTGCCAGGCAGGTGCACTCCAGGAGGCGGGGGGACAGATGGACACCGAGACAATGAGGTCCTTTCCAACTCCCGGACTCTATGATTAAATGAGAGCCAGACCTTCAGGCCCTTTGCCTTGCCCGGATCCCTCCTGCCCGACATGGGGACTGTTTCCAGGCATTTAAGCCCCTGGCATATTCTCAAGTAGTCTAATTTTGTTCCTGCAGAGGAGAGGAAAGGAGGTTATATGTATTACAGAATACTGACTTGAATTGTTGCAAATTAGCCAGAAAACATCCTTCGGTGGGAGCACAGCCCCCGAGGGGAGCTGGTGGGTGAGCAAGGGAGGATTAAAGTGTTCAGTTATAAATCCCCAAACCCTGGCCTCCCTCCTCCTTAACTAAAACCCATCCAGAAGCAGCAGTCTGCAGGGGGCAGCAGGAGGGGATGGGACCAAAGCAGCAGAAACAAACATTCCCAGTACACCAGCCGTGACTGAGGACCCAAGCTGCTTCAGTCACTTATGCAGGAGAGGATTCTCATGAGCCTGTACGGTCAAGCTTGCTGTTTCAAGAGCCCTCGTGTCCAAGGCCTGAACAAAGAGCCCAGAGTGCTGGAGCCACATCCACAGAAGCAGCTGGCAGTGGAGCCCTGCCTTTCCTTAGTGTCTACTTGGTGACAACCTTGTTACAAAGTCAGAGGTGAAAGGTCGGGCCCTGAGCCACCAGGCATTAAGAATAAAATCACGCTGGAGAAGTCTGCTAAGTCAGCAGCTGAAGAGGCCCCTGCCTTCCCAAGCTCCCCGGAGCACAGGGGATACAGCAGCAGCTCATGACCACAAGTGCAGGGGTGGCCCAGACTGCCTCTACCCATGCTCCTCTGGATGACTCCCGCTGCCCCTGGGACCACCTGCTCCCGCTATGTTTTCTAACTTTGTTATTATAAAGGAAGCCAAGCGTTTGCCTTTCAAACCAATGTCCCAAAAAGCCACACGGATCAAATGGTCCTACCTGCCTTCCCTGGTTCCCTCACTAGCCTGAGAGTGAAGAGTCTTGGTCCAAAGACTGTTTTTCCTCCCGACTTTAAACTACAAACATGCAGATGCCGCAGGGGTCTCCTGTTTAAACATTGATGCCTTTCCTTTCCACTTTCATTGTTGTTGCTGCCCCCTGCTGGCTTCAGGGGGAGGGAGAATGGGAGCTACAGAAAAGTAGGCCGGGGCCCTCCAGACCTGGGGGAAGTGAACCGCAAGCCCATCCCCCTCCCCCTGATTTTCTCCAGAAAAGTCCAAGGGCTTGAGAGACGGTGGCTTCTGTGAAAAAAATATAATTAGAAATAAACACAGGGATCAGGTAAGTGTCACACAGCCCCTCCTAACTCCTCCAAAGTGGAAATGAAGCACGGAGGGCAGAGGTCTGTCACCCCAGCCCTGGTGACACCTGCTGGGGCACACCTGCCCCCCAGGCGCAGGCTCGCTCTTCCTGGAGGAGGCGCAGCTGCCTCCTCCCTTCAAAGAGCAGGATGCTGGCAGCCATGGCAGAGTTCAGACTGTCCACACCCGGCACGACGGGGATCAGCAGCCTCTTCCCTCCTGTGCTCTCAGCCAACTGGAGGGACTCCAAGCTGACCCCGTGCGTCTCCCCGCCTATCACCACAGCTGCCGGAGCGTCTGTCCAAGCTGTGTCATAACCCTGGACCTCGAGTTCTGGGAGCCAGCTGCCGGCCGGCTCCGTCTCCTCCACCTCCTCATACTTGCGATGTTTCTGAAAGCGCCGGTCGCAGACCCAGCCCTGGTCGCTGGCTTTACCAGACCTCTGGGCCTGGGCGTGCAGGCCACAGTTGTCGGCCACATGGACTCTGGCGTTCGAAGGCAAGTAGTTGGGTACGGCCTCCCACTCTAGGTTGCTGATGATGGGCACCTGGAAATGAGCCCCCATGCCAGCCCGGAGCACTTTGGGCTCCCAAGCATCCACACAACCTGAAAGAGGAAAAGGAAGAACTCAGCAAGGTCAGATCTGCCCCAGATTAGGGTGCTTGAGGGATCAATCCAAAAAGCCTCGGAAGTGACTGGGTGACGTGCCAGGGAGAAGATACCCGATGAACACTGCTTCCTGCTGGCTGGCCCCTCAGTCACCGGGGGATACTCAAGGCCAAAAAGGGGCTGCATGGGGCAGCTAGGTGGCGCAGTGGATAGAGCTCCGGCCTTGGAGTCAGGAGGACCTGAGTTCAAATCTGGCCTCAGACACTTGACATTTACTAGCTGTGTGACCCCGAGCAAGTCACTTAATCCCGACTGCCTCACCAAAAAGCAAAAACAAAAACACACACACACACAAAAAAAAAAAAAAACACAAAAAGGGGCTGACGAGGACAGACCACAGCTATCTTAGCAAGAGGAAATAAGTACAGTAACAAGTGGCCTTCACATTAGGACAGGCCCTGGTTCAAATCCCATCTGTGACAATGAAGAGCTATGTGACCATGGGCAAAGCCTCAGTCTCCTCCACAAAATGAGAATAACAACACCACCTCACAAGGCTATGGTCAGCATCGGATGAGGATGGCTGCATATCGAGAGCTCTATAAATGCTGTCACAGAAACATCTACAAGAAGACCAAGATGGGGCCAAGAGGATGGAGCAGCAGGAAGCTCCTCCCCACCCCCACCCAGACCACACCAGGAGGGGGACGTCCAAGAGAAAGACACAGTTGGCTATTTTTCCAGCTCAAGTCAGCTTGGGGGAACAGAGATCTGTGGACACGGTGGACAAGATATGGCCAGGAATATGCCACGTGAAACCCTGCAGGGCAGAAAGAGAAGACCCCAGACCCACACTGGAGCACGGGGACCTTATGTGGGGTGCACTGGCATCCACAACCCAGCTCCAGGTTACAGATGCAAGGCAGCCTGTGGAAAGGACCCGTACCGGGGGGAGGTGTTTGAAGATGAGGAGCCGCTGCAGGTCCTAGCCAGTGAATGAAGAAAGAAGCAAATTAAGAAGCCAGGAGCAGGAAGGGGTCTCAGTTCCAGCTTCTAGCCCAGACTACAGCCTACACAGGAATAATCGGGGCCAGAATCCCAGACCAAAGGGAAGCCTGCAGTTCTTTCACTCCGAACGAGAAGAGTTCTCCAGTCAGTGGCTACATACCGGCAGAATCCAGCAGCATTTACTGTTGCCCAGACCCAAGCCCAGGTCAGGGACTTGCAGGGCTCAGACAAGAGGCAGCAATCAGACTTTGCCCCAGAACTATCTGGGAGCCTGAGCTGTCCCTGAGAACGTGAAGATTCTTAATACCCCAAGAATACAGCAACAGAGCCAGGCCAGACCTCCCCTCCAGAAGTGCTCAGAGTCCAGCCCTAACATCAAGGCTGAGGTCAAGAAGGAGGCTGAAGAATGAGCAAAATGAAAAGGGATCCCAGTTTTTAAAGCTCTAGTGGCAGCAGAGATGCAAACCCAGAAGAGAATGACTCCAAAATATTGGCAAGTAAAACCTCCAAATTGGACACAAATTCAACTAGAATTCCTGGAAAAGAGGAAGCCAAAATTTTTTAAGATTTTAAGATGTTTTTATCAATGAAATGAGGGCACTAGAAGGGGAAAAAAACGAAAACGAAATGAGAGCTATGAAAAAGATTTGGAAAGGGAATTAACTGTTTGGCATAATAAAACCTTGCCCAAGCAACAAACTAGCCCAAAATTAGAATGGACCAAATGGAGGCCAATAATTCCACGAGACAACAAGAAATATTAAAACAAAGTCAAAAGACTGAAAAAAAATAGAAGAAAATGTAAGCTATCTCATAGCAAAAACAACTGACCTGGAAAGCAAATCAATCAAATAAAAAATTAAGAATCCTCAGACTACCCTGAATGCCATGACCATAAAAACAGCCAAGACACCGTATTTCAAGAAATCTTAAAAGAAAACTGTCTAGACCTCTTAGAAGCAGAGGGAAAAATAGAAATAGAAAGAATCTAACTCCTAAAAGAAAGCCCAAAATGAAAACTCTCTTAGAGCCAAAATTCAGAGCTTCCAGGTCAAAGAAAAAATACTGCAAACAGCCCCAAAAAAAGAATCCAAGTACTAAGCACCAACAGTCAGGATCATATATGATTTAGCAGCTACCACCTTAAAGGAACAGAGAGCTTGGGATATGATTTTTCAGAAGGCAAAAGATACAAGCTTTCAGCAGAGAATAACTTAACCAGCAAACGGACTATAATACTACTGTGCAAAAAGTGAACCTTTAATGAAACAGAGGACTTCCAAGCATTCCTGATAAAAAAGACCAAAACTGCATAGAAACAGTTCAAACAGGAGTTAAAAAAAAATATAAACAGGTGCACACAAAAGAACTAACAAGGATAAACTTCTTGCATTCAAATATGGGGAGATGATATATGTATCCCCTCTGAACTCTATTATCATCATGGGTCATATAAGGAGTCTAATTAGACAAAAGGCCTGGGAGTAGTTCTATTATGTCTTGATGATCTTAAAAGAATTGAAAGAGGGGCAGCTAGGTGGCGCCGTGGATAGAGCACCAGCCCTGAAGTCAGGAGGACCTGAGTTCAAATACGGCCTCAGACCAAACACTTGACACTTACTAGCTGCGTGACCCTGGGCAAGTCACTTAACCCCAATTGCCCAAAAAAAGAAAAAAAAAAAAAGAATTAAAAGAGAAATATACTGATGGGGATGAGGGAAAGGAAGGTTAGGGAACATGATCTTACATAAGGATATACAAGTTTAAATCTAAAAAAAGAGGAAGGAGAGAGATCAGCTGATGCCTGAACCTCACTCTCATCTGAACTGGTCAAAGGAGAGAAGAAAACACAAGAGTTGGGTACAGGAATACATTTCACTCAAATGGAAAAAGGAAGGAAAAGGGAGAAGTGAGAAGGAGTAATCACAGGGAAGGACTACTCCTAAGCAAAATAAACTCTAAAGATACACAAAAATATTTATAGCTCTTTTTGAGGTGGCAAAGAATGGGAATCTGAGGGGTGTCCATAAAATGGGGAATGCCTGAACAACTTATGGTGTGTAGATGTGAGGGAATACTATTGTGTTTTAAGAACTGATGAAGGGGTTGGTTTCAGAGAGACCTTTGAAGATTTGTATGAACTGATGCAGAGGAAAGTGAGCAGAACCAGGAGAACAATTTATACAATAACAACATTATACGACAAACAACTCTGAAAGACTTCGGAACTCTGATCAATGCAATGACCAACCACACAATTCCAGAGAACTCATGATGAAACGCGTTGTCCACCTCCTGGAAGAGAGGTGAAGGATCAGAATGTAGAATGAGACACACACAGATTTCTTTTGGACATGGCCAATGTGGAATTTGTTTTGATTGACTATATGTTTGTGTTGGAGGGATGAGAAGGAAAGAAGGTGAATTTTTGCTGATTGAAAAAAATAAAATTTTATTTAAGAACAAAAAGACTAAGAAAAGTTGATCTCAAGAGGGCCCATTCCTCCGTGGGGCTGAACCTACCCATTTTTATCACCAGGGCAGGCCCTCTTCTTTGCCCTTTCCTCTCACCCCCCATTCACTAGCAGAAAAAGCCCAGCCCCCAACCCTGCCTTGAAGACTGGGAAGCAGGACAGCAGCAGGCACCTCACCACAAGTGTATTCACTTCTATGTGATCTTCCTTAGTGGCCCATGGTGGGTACAAGTCCGGCAATGTTCTTTTTAATTCAATTTTCTTTTACTTTCAGGTTGGCATTCTCTCCCTCCCACCTCTGACCCCTCCCCAACCTTTTTGTTTTTTAGAAAACAAGAAAAATAAAACCTGTTTAAAAAAACATAGACAAGCAAAACAAATTCCTTCATTGATCATGTTTTGTTTTGTTTTGTTTTTTAAAAAGTCTCCATCTGCCCTCTGAGTCCTTCACCTCTCTCTATTAGGGAGGTGGGCAGCAGCGTGTTTCATCATGAGTCCCCCAGAATCATGACTGGTCATTGTGTTGACCAGAATTTCTAAGTCTTTGAAAGTTGTTTGTATTTACAGTGTTGTTAATAGTGTCTGAATTGCTCTCATGGCTCTGTTCCCTTCATCTTCCCATTCTTTGCCGTTACAAAAAGCTGCTATAAATATTTTTGTTTATATGGGCCCTTTTCCTTTTTCTTTGTTCTATCTGGGATAAAGACCTAGTAGCAATATTGTCGGGTCAAAAGTTAAGCGCAATTTAATAGCTTTTTGGGCATAGTTTCAAATCCAGAAAGGCTAGACCAGTTCACAGCTCTACCAACAGTACATTAATGTACCTGTTTTCCTACAATGCCTCCAACATTTGTCATCTTTCTTTTTTGTTACCTTGGCCCATCCGATGGATCTGAGGTGGTACCTCAGAGGTCTTTGTTTCCGGCAATCATTTCTGAAAACCTTTCCATCCTCAGAAGAAGTCAACTAGGCAAGCCAGAAAAATCATGCAATAAGGGACACCACCTCTACTCCTGAAAGGTTTCCTGTCTGCCAAAGAAGTGGGAAAGCAGCCAAGCAGAGACAGTTCTCCAGTGGCTGCCACAAATGCCACACGGGGCTGCCGATCTCAGGTCACGACTCAGACGGCCTGTGTGGCATCTGAAGCCTCTGTCATCCTGGGCTGGGGGAAGGGATAGTAGTTAGGAGGAGGGGCAGAAGGAAAAGGCCAATACACAGAAGAAGGGTTGAAATTCCTAACATGGTATCTGGGATTCTGGTGAACTGAACTTCCTTCTTCTGCACTACAGCCAATACATCAGTATCAACTTGAACACTAGTTGGGATTCATGGGGATTTGAGTTTTTCTCTTTCCAAAGAAGGAAAATTTCTCTTCCTCAAAATGTGAAATAACAAAATGAAAAAACAAGGGGGACCCCTGAGGTGGCAGCAGCAACAACAAAATTTGCACCACAATTATAGGATTGCTTATAGGTCACAATTTAGGCATGTCTCAGCAACTGGGGCCAATACCAATGTAAGTTTAGTCTGAAGAAGGTGGGTGTGGCTGCTTAACTATGTAGCTTCTCCCAAATGTCTATATCCATCTCAACCCACCCATCCCCCAACACACTCCACTGGGGTCCAGTGAAAAGGGCACTGCCTCAGGAGTCAGAGAAGATATGGGTTCAAATCCAACCTCTGACACAACTTAGACGACCTTGGAAAGTCACTCAGCCTCCCCAGGGCCTGTTTCCTTATCTATAAAAGAAGAAAGTTGGACTCTATGCCGTGAGGTCCCGTGGCTCTTCAGATTACTCTATGACTTGGCTGTGATTCGGTTAAAACTAAGCGTCTTCGCCTGCCCTAGAAGAAGGGATTGTAAAGGCTGGTTCTCACCTGGACCTTGTGGAGCCAGTCCTTTTTAAAATGGACTTTGTCTATAAAATTCTTTGCCACCCAAAGTTTCAGAAGTTCAGGGCCATAAAAACAAATACAAAGCCATCGTATACAATCGCACTTCATCCCTTTAATGCTGATTGCTTGCTCTCCTTCCCGTCCGTCCCAGACTCCAGACAGAAGAGCCCTTTACCTTTGGTGAGCAGCACCTTACTGCAGCCGGCCCCAGCGGCAGATCGCAGGATAGTGCCCAAGTTTCCAGGATCTCGGAGATTGTCACAGATCAGCAACAAGGGCAGTGAATGTTGAAGCTGGGTCTCTGGATACTTCATCTTAACATGGTCAGGTCTGGCAAAAATCCCTAAGGGCACAAAACAGGAGCTCACCCGACTGAGCAACGGGACCCTGCTTTGGCCAGGTAGCTGGCCCAGACAACAAAGAGCCCTGGCCCACCGCCAGCAAGGTGCATGCAGCTTCCCCAGCTTTGCCCTCCATGCAGGTCTAACGAGAAGCAGACTCCCAGGACACGGAGTGGGAATCCCAGGTCTAAAACGTCTAGATGTCCAAATGACACTCCCTTCTTCGAAGCCAAAGACCTCAAGGGCCCTGTCTTTCAGAGATGCCTCCAGGAGGTTGTCATCTGCAGACAGAGTTCACCTTCAGGAGGCACATCCCATGTGGGCCCTCTGGCAGGAAACTCCAGGAGCCTGGCGATCCCTGGAGATTTTAATACCCAGCCTAGCTCTCCATCCTCAGACCAATTTAAAGAAAGATAAACAGGCCTGAGGGGCCTAGGATCTTGCAAATCCTGAGTGGCATGACTTCTGAAATCTTTTTATCTTATGTCAAAAGTTCCACGATATCCCCTACTCTTGAAAATTAAGCTTCTATGGAAGGTTTAGAAATAGGAAAAATGTTTCAGCAGAAAAATACCTTAATAAAGTTCTTTCACTGACATGCTATTCTCAGAGCCAGGTTCTTATCAGTTCACAGGATTGTTAGTGAATAACTACTAATCAATAATATAATTTGAAAGGCAGCATGATATAATAGAGAAGTTGACTTGGAGTCAAGAAATCAATCAACACTCCCAGCCATTAGTGAGATCGATCAAGAATGAATGAATGGATGAAGAACTCATTAAGCGATTATTATGTGCAGGCACTGTACTAAGCACTACAGATACAAACACAAGACAGCCCCTGCCCTCCAAAAGCTTATAATCTAACTGAAGACAACACCATATGTATGGGAGTGGTGGCCAGGTAAGGGCATTTTGGACTGGGGAGTGGCAGGGAGGTAAGCTGGGCCACGGAGCAGCCCGCGTGCCCTTTCCCGAGGCCATGACTGTGTTGACTTGATTATGGTTCCCTCTGGAGGTCCTGCTCAGCTAAGTTCTTAGACTCTCTTCAGCTATGTGAGACTGAGGCATTTTCAGCTCAGGAAAAGTCACAAAAGGCTGAGCTGTACATTTCCACAAAGACATCAGCCACTGACCCATTATTCCTTGTGGAGTCACGAGGTCGGACCATTCCTCGATATCATCAAACTTCACCTTGATGAGGCTGGCACCTTTTAGTTTATCCACAGGGAGCTCCTTTATATATTCCAGTCGACTAAAGAAGACTGTTTGGGGCACAGCACCAGCTCTCAGGGCATCAGCAATCAGCCTCCGGCCCTCCAGCAGGATCTTCCCCTGCTTATCACGTAAGGTCCTGGACTTGACAACTGTCATCACTTTGCTATGGATGAGAAGAACAAAGAGATAAATGACTGCAGCCCCTGGGTCCTGGGTGTGCATCAGACTGCTTGCGGGGAGTATGAGATGAGCAAGGGGCCCCTCTCTGCTCTTACAGTGTAGAGAGAGCAGTGGTTCTCAGTATGTTCTAGGCTTGGGAACTAGCCCATTAGAGAAGAGTCTGGGCATGATGGAAGTCACATGCACAACTCCATTCCATTATTCAGATTACATACAAATCCCAGCCCACTATTTCAGAAGCTCTCTTTGGGAGCCAGTGTGGCATAGCAGAAGAGGCCAGATTTGGAGTGAAAGGATCTGGGTTCATATCCCAGCTCTGTCATTTCCAAGAGATGCAGCTTTCTGGACAAGTCTATTAACCTCTGGGCCTCAGTTTCCTCATCTGTAAGATTAGGGGAAGGGGAGTTAGGCTAGATGGATAGCTTGAGATCCCCTCAAACTCTAAATCTATCATCTCATGAACTTTTATGACTCTGGGAACAGATGATTTCTCTAAGATCTCTTTCAGCTGTGATGGTACACTGGTCCTGATTTTTAAGACAGATTTAAAAAACTATTAAATACCCCACCTTTCTATGTACTCTGCATTATTCATTGTAGTAGAAATGTCAGAAGCTTCCAAACTGTTCAAGTCAAAGTATCACACTGAAATGGTCAAAACATTTCATTTTTCAAGCTGAAATTACAAATGTAGTATTTAAATGTTTGTACTTTGGAGGAAAAAAAGGTACTTTTATACAGTAGCTTTCTTGAAAATGTGTTTCCATAAAAAACATTTTTTTATAAAACAATGTAAAATACTAAAGAAGAGTAGCTGAGAACATAAAAAGGTAAAATTACGCTTGGTGAAATAAATGCTAACTTAATGTGGTGGTATCGGGGAAAATAAAATACTTATTTGGGGGCAGCTGGGTGGTGCAGTGGCTAGAGCTCCAGCCTTGGAGTCAGGAGGACCTGAGTTCAAATCTGACCTCAGACACTTGACATTTACTAGCTCTGTGACTCTGGGCAAGTCACTTAACTTCAATTGCCTCAAAAAAAAAAACCCAAAAACTTCTTTTATTGGCTTCCAAATAGCATCCCTGCATTAGTTAATGAAGAGGGAATCTTTGACTATCTATCTTGTGCTTTCTACAAACAGGGATGTAATACTGTCAGTAGGCACATAAATAACAAATGGCTATTACTGCTTCCGGACAGGTAGGTGGCACAATGGATTGAGCACCAGGCTTGGAGTCTGGAAGACCTGAGTTCAAATTTGGCCTCAAGACACTAGCTGTACGACCCTGGGTAAGTCACTTCACCCTGTTTGCCTCAGTTTCCTCATCTATAAAATGAGCCGGAGATGGAAATGGCAAACCACCCCAGTATCTTTGCCAAGAAAACCCCAAGTGGGTCACAAAGACTCCAACAGGACTGAAATGACTGCACAGCAACGGCATTTACTGCTTCTCTACAAGCAATATTAACGCAGCTGAGATAAAAAGCGAAGTGGCAATGGGGGAAAAGGCCTCCTGAGCAAGTCGGACTTGAGCTGCATCTGGAAGGAAACCAGGGGACGGAGGGAAGGAGGAATAATACTGATTCCAGAACAATCAATAAAAAGGCCCGGAGTCCAGAGGTGGGGGTGTCCCGATCCGAGAGAAGTAAAAAGCACAGCGTCAGGGTCCGGAGTCCGGGGGAGGGGCTCAAGTGCTACAAGACTGCAAAGGCGGGAAGGGTCAGCTGGGGAAGGGTCAGCTGGGGAAGCCTCGAAACACCGATCGATCGGGTGAGGTTACGCCTTGATGCGAAGCTAACGGCCACCGCCTTCATCCGGAGGCAAAGGGGCGGGCGGGCGGGCGGCCGGTCCGGAACTTTAGCGAACTCATTTGGGCGTCTCGGGAGACCAAAGAGAAGGGTCCCCGCGAGAGGTGAGGAGGGGTCTGCGCCAAGGACCGATTGGGGGGGGCGGCATGTGGAAGCGGGCAAGAAGGCAGTACGGACGGGACCTGGCGACGAGGGCAGAGGGCAGAGGACGGGGGGGCCTCCACGGCAGCCAAGGAAGAGGGGACGAGAGAGGAGGCGAAGGGGCAGGGGCCGAGGGGGCAGGAGGGAGGAGGGAGGACGGGAACGTAGCGGGGGAGGCTCACCTCAGCCTCCGGTCCCCGGGCAGGGCCCGCTCGTAGCGCAGCCCCGCCTCCCCCCACGCGCCGGGGCTCGCCCGCGTCTCCGGCTCCGGTGCCCGGCCCGGGCCTGTGCTCTCCCTCCCTCGCCGCTGCGGCTCCGGCTTCGCCGCCGTCGCCCCCGGCCCCTGGCCGGGGCTCAGCACCTTCACGGGGCTCCGCCTCAGGGCCCGCACCCAGCGCCGCGGACCCCCGCCCCAGACCGGCCCCGCCGCGATCAGCAACGCCGCCAGCCCCTTGCCGCGGGCCAGCGCCGCCATCTTCGCGCTGACGTCACGGAAGCGCGCCGGCGTGGCGGCGTCTGGCGTCATCGGCGGGCGCCGGAAGGAAATGCGGCGCCGGCCCTGAGGAGCGCACGGAGATGGCGGAGGCGGCGGCGGCGGCGGCGGCGGCGGCGGCCTCGCGGCGCGCGCTGCACTTCGTGTTCAAAGTGGCCAACCGCTTCCAGACGGCGCGCTTCTACCGCGACCTGCTGGGGATGAAGGTGCCGGGGGTGCGGTGCGGGGGGGCCGGGCCTGGGCCAAGGGTCACTCGCGCCCTGGGGGGGCCGCAGAGGCCGTCTAGCCCAACCTCCTCCCTTTATAGATGGGGAAACTGAGGCCCGGGGAAAGCCCGGTGACCTCTCAGCTCAGGGACCCTAGAGGCCAAATAGTCAGAGGCCTCCATTTTACAGAAAAGGAAACTGAGGCCAGGCGAGGGAAGCGACGTAACCAAGGTCAACCAGGTAGGGAACCCCGAGTCCAGCGCTCTGGTCTCTTCGGCGCGTGGTGGGCCTCTCCTTTGGTCCCCGGCAGCCCTTAGAGAAGCGGTGGGGGGTCGCCCCCATTTTACACGCAAAGAAGCCGTTCTTGGAGACGGATCGTTCTAATCGACCATCGATTTAGGGCCTAGAGAGAACATCAGGGCCGACCCGTTTTCCAGATAAGGACACTGAGGCCAACCCGGCTGCGGAGATTTGCCCCGGGTCACACCTAATAAGGGTGAGGTGGGATTGGAACCCGGGTTAAAAACTGACATTGACGGAGAGCTTTGAGGCTTGTAAAGCTTGCTCTATTGGTTATCTCCAGGTTTTAGGCCGAGAGCCCGGTGACCTCTGTCCACCTGGCCACCCGCAGTGGGCCAGGAGGCAGCCTCCAGGCATTTACTCTGTGACCTTAGCCCAGCCTCTTGACTTCTCAGCCTTATCTGTAAAAACAAAAAATTGGCATGATAATAGCGCCGGCCTGAGACAGTGTTTGTGAAGCATTTTGCAAACCTTAAAGGGCTATTTGAGTTCGAGCTGCTGTTGTTGTTATGCTATGCCTCTAAAGATTCTAAATTATAATATTAATGATTGCTTGTATTTAATGTGATCCTCTCCACAGCCCCGGGATGTAGGTGCTCCCTGTTTTACCGAAGAAACTGAGGCTGAGAGGTTAAGTGATTATCCAGCTATAAATGGCTGAGCAGAATTTGAACTCAGGTCTTCCTAACTCCAGACCTAGTGCTCTCTACACTTAGCCACCTGCTGTCTAATCTACAATTCCTTTTTTTTGTGAGGCAATTGGGGTTAAGTGACTTGCCCAGGGTCATACAGGTAGTAAGTGTTACATGTCTGAGGCTGGATTTGAACTTAGGTCCTCCTGACTTCAGGGTCGGTGCTCTATCCACTGCACCACCTAGCTGCGGGTAGAATTCTTTTTTTTTTTCCCCCAGTGGAATTCTTTACAAAGAAAACTAGCCTGTCCCCAAGGAGTTTACACTCCTAGGGGAAACAACTGCATATCAAGATAGCAGGCTATAATGGTAAGAAGACTGGAGTTGGCATCCATGGATCTGGGTTCAAATCTTGCTCCAACACTTAACAGCCTTTTGACCTCGGCCGAGCCTCTACATCTCAGTTCCCCCATCTTACAGATGAGGAGGCCTCCCTGGATGATCTGTAAGGCCTCTTCCAATTCTAAACCTGTGTATACCAATAAGTAAGTTTAAATGAATATGGAGAGACTTCTGACAGCTGGGGGGGGGGGGGCGAGAGATGCTCATCAAAGGCATTTTGTTTTGTTTTGGTTTTGGGTTTTTTTGTTTTGTCTTGTTTTGTTTTTTGAGGAAGTAGCTTGTGAGCTGAGCTTGGAAGCTAAGGACGGGGGGGTGGCTCTTGAGGCTTGGATGTTTGTTTCGAGGCACTGGAGGACTGTTTATGCAGATGCAAAGACAGGCCAGGGAGCAGCCCATGTGACCTAAGATGGAAAGGTGGATTTGAGCCATATTGTCATGAGTGAGTTTGTAGTTTGTCCTCCAGTCAGTAGGGAGCCACTGAAGATTTTTGAGCTGGGGGTGACAAGGTGAGGCCTTTGGCAGGTATATAGAGGATGGGCGCTAACAGGGAGCTCTATTGGCACTTACTGTATTCCAGGAGAGAAGTGGGGAGGGCCTGAAATGGTGGGTGGGTGAGTGTAGAGAGGCATGGGAGACACTCGAGCTGTGGAGGGAGAATTTACAAAACTTGGCGGTTGATTGGATGTGACAGGTAAAAGAGAAGAAAAAATTAAAATCGCCTCCAAGACAGTGGTTCTGAACTATCTTTTTGTTCAGGACAGTGCTTTGCTGCTGCAGTCTAGGGAGAATGAGCAGTGTCCAAGTGACTGCATGCTGAGCCCAAGTTCCTTTGCCCTAGCCGACCCTTAGGGAACCATGGCCCTAATGTGAACCTGGGTGACTCAGAGGACAGTGGTGTCCTCAGAAGATTCAAGTTTGGGGGGGGTGAGTTTAGGGGCAAAGACGAGCCCCGTCTAAGATATATTGCACTCAGGATGCCTAAGACACGTCCAGGTGGAGACATTCAGCAGGCTGTTAGCAATGTGGAACTGGCGTTTGGCAGAAAAATTAAGGTTGTGTGTGTTTAGGCGTCGTGTACGTGGAGATGATAATTGAACTCAATTCAAGGAAAGAAAAGAGAAGAAGGCCTCGAGTTCAGGGGACATCCAGAAAAGGAGACAAAGGAGGAGGAGAACCAGAGGCAGCCGGATGCTGGGAGGCAAGAGAAGAGAGAGGATCCAAGGGCACTGGGGGTATCCGTAGTATAAAGTGCAGGGAAGGCAAGAAGGGTGAGGACTGAGAAAAAGCCATCAAATTTAGGAGCTGAAAGTTCCTTGGTCACCTTTGAGAGAACAATTCAGTTAGAGTGGTGGGGTCTGAACCCTGTGTGATGTTAAGGGGTGATTGGGTGGTGAGGCTATAGAAACAGGAAGTGTAGACAACTCTCGGAGCTTAAAAGGGAAAGGGAGATGTATTAGGTGATAACTGTAGGATCAAGGGAAGGTTTTCCAATGATAGAGAAGGTAAGGGAGACGGGTGGGAAGACACTAGGAATGAGAAAGAAGAAATGATTGATGGAGATGAGAAAGGTTGTGTTGGCGTGTTTTAGAAGGAACTGACCTTGGCAAGGACAAGACCAGACTCCTTAGACACTGAGCAGAGGAGGAAAGCACAGGTGGAAATGTAGAGGGGTTTATGGTGTGTAGAGGAGATGGGGAAACTGAGGCCCAGAGAAGCCAAGTGACTTGGGACAAGTAATTTTGTTGCCTCGGGCCTGTTTCCTTATTTGTCAAATGAGGGTATTGGGGGGCAGCTAGGTGGCTCAGTGGATAGAGCACCGACCCTGGCGTCAGGAGGACCTGAGTTCAAATCTGGCCTCAGACACATAACACTAACTGTGTGACCCTGGGCAAGTCACTTAACCCCATTGCCTAGCCACGCCCCTCCCCCCAACCAAAAAAATGAGGATGTCGGGTCAGATGGCCTGTAAGGACCCTCCCGTGCTATCCCAATGATCTCACCTCCAAACCTAGTGCTCTCTCTGTTATGGTGGCTTGGGTTCAGTGGAATGAGGGACTTTCAAGGGAAGAAGCCTTTGGGATTGCCCGATCTGGCTGGAAAAATGGGAAACCAAGCCAGATGTGCATCAGAATAGTACAAGTCTGGGGTGAGGGTCTTGGTGCCAGGATATGGTTTGAAGAAGGAGGAGAGATATCCCAGCTGAAATGGAGAGGACCACTGCAGGAGACAGTAATGCTGTGTCTCCACGCCCAACCCCCAGCACAGTCTCCATCTGCCTGGAAGGCACCTCCACCTGGCCTGCCATTTAAAGATGAAGAAACTGAGGCCCAGAGAGGCCAAGGAACGTGCTTGAAGGCAGGTTGTAAAAGTCGGGCAGAACTTGGGCTCAGAGCAAACACCCCCCTGTCCAAAATGGAACTCCTCCTTTTCCCCACAAGCTTTCCCCTTCTCCCTGGCTGTGCATCTCTCTTAGTCATACCACCATCATCCCAAACATCCTGGCTCCAAATCTCAGGCTTCTTGGACTCTCCCCTCTCCCTCACCCCCACCCCCACACCCAGTTGGTCGTTGCCAAGCTCCGTCAGTTCCCTACCCTCCATATATCTTACCTTGTTCCCCTCCTTTCCACATCTGTGATGGCTGTGGCGGTCAGCCTTTCATCCTCCTCCCAGGGGATTATTCTAACGGCATCGCTGGACTTTGTGTCACCCACCCCTCCCTCTACCGGATTTTTCCCAGAGCTGCTTAAGTGATCTCCTTAACCATTGGATAAGCAGCATTGGGAAGCCTTCAGCTCCTCCTTAATACCAGAAGGATAAAATGCTTATGTCTGAGGACCCCTCCTGTGGGTGCAAGCATCCACCCATTGACTCTGGGCCTTCCCGAGGGCAGCTGTCAGGGGTTGGTGTGGCCAAGAAGTTCGTTCTTGTGATAAGTATAAGTGTCTTGGAACTTCCCTGAACTGGTGCTCGGTAGACAGGCCCAAACAGAGCCCTCCCAGCCCCCTCTGCAGGACCTGCCAAACTCCGTGCTCTGCCCAGATGACTTCAAGAATGCAGTCACCTGCCTGCCACACGAGGCCATCAGAGCCCTCTTGGTCTGCCTCGAGCCACCTCTCTGGCCCTGTTTCATATTCTCATGTTTCAGGCCATCTGTGCTCCATTGGGACTGAGCCACCCCGTGCCCCAGGCTAGCCCAGGCCCCCTCCACCTCCCAGCATCTCTTTCCTCCGCCTCATCTGCCTGTGGAAAGCCTTGCCTCTGAGGCCTACCAGGTCTCCCCTAATGCCATTCACCTGCCACCTCTCCCCCAAGCTCTCCTTGATCTCATCTTCTTAGGTATTTTTCTCATTCTAATTCGTATCATACTTGATTGTGTGCTAACTCTTGCCCACCTATTGAACTATGAATCCCATCAAACTCTGCCAGTCCAATTCTTACCCTGCTGGACTGTCAGACTCCCCCTGAAGCCCCATCCCCCTCCAGACGTGTTC